GAGGTTGTTATGGAAATATGGACTTCTAGAAATACTTCTTCCAATTCAGGTGAATTGACGCTTGACTTTTTCCCCAGTTATGGGTTACAAATAAGTGAGACAGTTTGATATTGTAGGCAGCATATTTCATCCAATATGGTTTTCGGAGGTCCGACAAGGGATCAAATATGCTTTTGGTAATTGTCTCTTTCCTATTCTTACTATTACTGTCTTTTTGGTGCTTATCAGAATTTATTTTCTTTCAAGTTTTTCCTAATGTACGTGGGAGACCGAACTTATTTTTCACTCGGTACTGCATAAGACTTGGTAGTTTGCTAATCTCATGAAAAGTTGCATGTAATATATATATATATATTTTGTATATTATATAGTATAGTAGAAGATCAATATGATGTATGCAGTACGGCTGGTTTTCCACAACTTGTGGAAGGAAAAATTATTCATGGTTTGTTCTTCTAATGGTTAGTTGTACGTTGTGTGCTTTGAAAAAAAATGTTTCTGGTAGATTTAAAGCTTTTGAATTACTTAGTTTCCTTTACTTCCTTTCGTTCGCACTCCCAGTCCCCACTTCCCCAAGTCCTAAATAGCTCAAGAGTAAGTTATCTTGAATGCTTTCGGTATATTTTTCGTTGTCCTTTGAAATTATTCTGGAGTATACAAAGTATAAATCCCTTGGTGATGTATGCTGAATCATGCATGGAGTAAAGCTTTTGAAAAGTAAGGATAGGACATCGATTATGTCAAATTGATGATTTTCCTACCTGATTATGAATTGATGACACAATTGGTCCATGGCAATTACTTGTTATTAACTAACATTGTTAGTATGCAGTCCCTATTTTCCAGCATGGATAAACTTCTGGCACCTAATAGACCTTGTCACAGTAGTTTATGGTAAGATTGTTGTTGAGAACTAAAATCTACTGTTGTACTGTTGCTATCTATAATTATCGTCAGGGTTCAACATGGTGTCAGGATGTAGTGTAAACTACTCGTGTCTGATCTACAAAATTGGAATGTTCCAATGCCAGTGAAGAGTGCCTAAAAAATAGGTTTAATATGTTATTGAAATGTAAAATTATATCTCTAGGTTACCCTAGAAGAGAGCTGAAATATTTTTTCCCCTTGAGTTATTGGTTGAATTTCAAAGTTGCCGTAAAGATGGTGGTGGAGTTTTGGAGGTGATTAGATTTAATACCTCGGTTTGGGCCATGCTGTCTAAGGCCTTCTGTAATGATTAGATTGGCCTTGTTCTCTTGGACGAGAGTCAGTTTTTTTCTTTTTCTTTTTCATTTTGGTATGTGTTTTCGTATTTGATAATATTTCTCAATGAAACCACGGTTTTTTATTTTTCTTAGAAAAAGATGACAGTTGTTTAGTTTATGGCTTAAAGCTGAAACCTGCTGTTGGTCTGATCCTGTAAATTGTTCGGTGAACCATGATTCGAACTTGTTAATTAATATTTCTTTTATGAGCAGTGATAGTACTTGTTTTCCGAACTTTGTTCTCTCTTTTGCAGTGAAGCAGTCTCAAACACTGTTTTCTCCTACAGGGTTGCAGTATTAGCCTTCCATGTTGCCCTGTCTGACCAGCCTAGGAGTCCTTTAGTGGTTGCAGCATTTAGTCTTGCAGTCCACAATGGTGGCAATATGATGGAAGCAATTAGCATTGCTAAGAGCATCAGTAGAGCACATAATGTAAACTTTCACGAATTATTAGAACCTGAGAATCTGGAGGTCCAAACTTTGATTGATGAGGTTATGGATCTTACTACGTCTATTAAGAACGCACTTCATAAGATGACCGACGAGCACTCTGTGTCTCTAGTCTTGGAAATGTATCCCCAAGCACCAGCCTCGGATCTAGTAATTTTTCTTCATTTTAATCTCTCTTGTACTTTTCAAAAAGGTTGTTGCCAATTGTCTATACATTCAAAGTCGATTATAATTTTAGGTTCTAGAGAATATCAAGCTTATAGTAATCTACCCCACTCTTTCTCCTGGAATATAAATTATAGGATCCAAGTTTTTTTTTTCCTACGACATATATTGCCTGTGGAATCATATGCTAAAAAGTTCACATATTGCAGGTTTTTATCCCATTGGTGGTGTACTTGAAGGTACGCAAAATTTTTGAGTGCTTTGTTGAGGGTGCAGAGAGAGTATTTGTTCCGAAGAGAGGAAAGGTTAATTACGAGTGTCTGGCTCTCGGGGACCTACCAGAACTTCGGCATTTTTTCGCAAGGATTGTATTTGATACTGTCTACCCTCTTGATCTCAATCATACTCGAGAATAAATTTTCAAGATAATTAGTAAATGGTGATTTTTGGGTCCTTTACTACAGGTATCTGACTTAAGCTTCGAGTATGTTTTGTACGCGGCCTGAGGTCAGGTTCATTGGATCATCTATTGAATCTCGTAGAAGTTCAGATTTTTGTAATCTTTAATCCGGTATCTAGTAACACAGAAAGAAAAGGGAATGATGCAATCGGCAATCGAATCCTACAAAAAGTGATTCTTTAGCGTCAAAAGCCTCAATTTTATGGTCCTGAGTATAATTAGAATGATTTCCAAGTCTTTGGAGTTACAGGCATCCGCATTTTTTGGCAATTAGGTGACGCAAACCGTCCCACGCCTTCACTTGTTAGCGGCAGGAGCAGGAGCAGCTCCACCCGTTGTTGGCCTACAAGATAAAGTAAAGTCATTAGTTACATGCAACTGTGCTGCTCGGAGAGGAGTGCACGAAAGATCAAGCCAAAAACGCGTACAGTCCAACGAAAACTTTGAATGCGTCATATATTCCCCATTGAGACCCGGTAAGAGTTCCAATCATAACAATCCGAAGCGGAAGGCCTCGAGTGAACAGACCCCATAAACCCAGCTGCCTCACAGCCTGCAAAATCAAAGTACCGAATTAGAAATCTATATGAACGTGTTCATCTTATTTTACCCACCATACTCACATCCCCGGCGGTTGCGCCCTTTGCGTTGTTGAGAAAAGAGACGAGATTATCAGCCGGGTGTGAGACTACGGCACAGAGGACGCCGGCCACATATCCACCGGCAAAGCTCACTCCAAGCTGCAGAGATTTGCTACACTGTTCTTTTGGCCTTGGGATGGCATACTTGTACAGCATCTCAACAATTGTTTCGAAAGAAGCAAATTTCATCATGGTATCTGCAAAACCCACCCCAAATTTATCTTGTAAATCATTATTCTGTTTTTAGTAACGATGTCATTTTTCCTATTTGCAGATACAATAGTTAAAACTTAAAACGTGGGATTTTGATGCTTTAACTTACACGGAATCTGACGTCCCCAAAGAGGAACCAGACCTTTATAGAGCCTGTAAAAGAAGACAACCAGAGACTTCGAAGTTATTAGGAGGAAAAAAAAAAGTATATGTTGATGGTGTATCTGCACTATATAATTAGTTTCATACCCAAGAACACCCTCAGACTTGACAAACTTTGGGAGCCCATCTGACAACCCCCGAGCAAAACCAGGTTGCGTTTGGACACGAACTTTGACGGCCTCCATGGGGCAGAGAGCGACATCGGCAATTACTTCTGCAGATGCTGAGCCAGCAAGGTATATGAAAGTTTTGTACTTGGCTGCATTCTCTGCTCCAACTATATCAGAATAGTACTTCTTGAAGAACTCGTAAAATCCAAACTTGCACGCCCCCTGAGCACTGTAACCAAGCAACGTTGGCACCCAACCCCGGAAGAACCCTCTCACTCCCTGCTCCTTTAGCAGAATTCCAAAACCAGACGAGATGTTCTTGTACTTTGCAGGGTCGATCTAAAATTTGGGGTGTGGCCAAAAGAGAGCTATTTTAACTGTAACTGTTTTGTGGGTCGTGGGACAGGTATTCGTGTTCTGTATTGTCTTAATTATTCATTTCTTTTATATTACTATGTTAATCCATTTCTTTTATGCATACTTAGTTTCGAAACTACTTGTTTATTTTAATTTTAATTATTGGTTTAACACTGCTCATTTGTAGACATAAAATGGCGTTGCCTTAAAGGTGTGAAGGAAGACTTGGATAGTTAACATCGATATTCAGAGTTTACCTGCATATTGCACTTGACGAGGTCGAGGGGGGTGACAGTCATGTGGGTGAGTCCACAACTCAAAATGCCGCCTACTGTACAAGCGGCGTAGAAGGGCGGTGAATACATCTTTATCTTCTCTTTCGGAGCTTCAATTGGGAAGCTCCTGCCGTAACTCCATGCCGGCGTCGTCCTAACCACTGTTTGGGAAATCCCCCAATTAGCAGAATACACAAAGCTTGGCACCAGAGGATGTCGTTGCCCATCTTTCGACAGAGCCATTAAAGTTGCCTTCTTGCTTCCAGGTAACTCTTAATTATTCCTATCCCCCTTCGTCTTCTTCTTCTTCCCTACACTGATCTCTCTCACCAAGACACAATAAATATGGATCTTACTATAAAAACGGCCCCCAAATTGGAGTCTGTGCGGTGATTTTGATTATGTTCGCACAGAATGAGCTTATATATAATCAATGGCAGCGGAAATTGTTATTTAGAAGAAAAAAGATGGAGAATTTCTCAGGGCTTTCCCTGTTTTGCGCGCTCTTTATAGGCATTGGCTGTTAGGCATCTGGACATCCCTCAAACACGAACCAACACACGGAACTTAAAACCTGGATTTAATTTATGGAGGACGTGTGGCCACTGGCAAGGCAGTGAAGGCCTGAAAAAATGTCATTCATAGATCATAATTCAGACTAGCCATAATCAGTCTCTTCATGATTCCTTTTTAAGTTAAAAATGCTCAATTTGTATCAATATCAACCAAAGAAAGAAAAGAAAAAAAGGCTTGGCTATTTAAAAAATTTGTGGGTCCAAGGCATTCTAGTGTCGCATAATAGACTGAGCAGACAAATTCTGAAATTGTTAATTATACTTTTAGTCCTTCAGATGTTCATAATTTTTAAAAATAAAATAAATAATCGAAGTATCAAAAACAAGTACAGATTTTTTAATATACATCAAGACAATCATATTATGATGAATGTATTATCGAAGAATTTGTTTGAGGTGTGTGAGTGTGTCAGATTGGGGGCAGTGTGTAGATAGGATTTGATAAAATGGATTGAGGGAGCGGCAACGTCCGCCACTCGTTCCTCATTTCCATTTTCCACAGTTTAAAGAGCTCCAAACCAACAAGACTACTTTATCCAATCCCTTCCCTCAACTCCTTTTGTTCTGGTCTTGAAGTTTATTATACTGTATTCCCTCGTATTCCATCAAACTCTCTCTAATGGCAATGGCTTCCTTTTCATCTACTTGCCTCGGATTCCGCATACCTCTCAACCAAGCTGCCAAGACCAACCAGAACCAGGTATTCTCTGACATCCCACTCCACTACATATTTATTGCATTCTATGTACAGTTCCCTAAGTGAAATTGATATTATTGTATGCTGCTTCTGGCAGTGTCAGGTTCTCAGAAGAAGCTCCGCCGGGGCCGGTGGATTGCTCAAGAGTAATGGTTTCCGTCTTGTCACTCACAGAACCTCCCAATCCCACCTGCGTGTCTCTTGTGCGGTAAGTTCGGCATTTTCATTTGCTAATTAACTCACTTTGCTGTTACCTTTTGTTTGTTGTGTGAATTGAGTTTGAAAGTTAATTGGTAAATTTATGAAATGGAATGGACAGGCAAAACCAGAAACAGTTGATAAGGTGTGTTCAATTGTGAGGAAACAATTGGCTTTGCCTGAAAGCTCAGAGCTCACCCCTGAATCCAAGTTCTCAGCTCTTGGTGCCGACTCCCTCGACACAGTACGCCTTTTCCATAACCTTCCCCAAACAAAACATCACACTAATCTTCTTCATACTTCTGTTTCCTTATTATATATAATTACGGTTCTGTTCATTGCCCCATTTGACAAAATCAAATATAATGTTGGCATGGCCACAGGTGGAGATTATTATGACCTTGGAGGAAGAATTTAGCATCAATATCGAAGAGGATAACGCTCAGAACATAACGACAGTTCAAGAAGCTGCCGATTTGATTGAGGACCTTGTTGTTAAGCAGCAATCTTAACTCTTAAGCTACCAAAGACTAGCTTTTGGTAAGTTAAAGTTGTATTATTCCGAGAGGCAGATGATAAGAGTTGGGTTGAGTAGGCAGGATGTTATTTTTTCTCCTTGAATGATTTTTTAAAGCAAATTAATCTACTTGTACTCGTGGAATTTATGAACAAAAACCATTTCGATTTGTTTTTCAATCTGTACAAGTTCAACTTGTTAGCTTGAAATTAATGCAATATGAAGCATGGTGTCGTGTTGCTTTCTGCTCCCAAACTGAGGGGCTGGATCAATCTATTTCATGGATTGCAGCGGTGGAAACCAGAGTACAAGTAACTCAAGCTTTTGAAAGCATCAAATTTCTTCTAAAAGTGTGAAGTAGTTGACATTTCTCCCTGGAAAAGGAAAAAGCCAATGGAAGGAGAGGGGTTTTTATTAACCCATTTCAATCATTTGAGTTTTATCAACCCTATTGAACTTCTTTTGCTAGGCAGGGGCTGCCCAAATGTGGGTGTCGTCCACAAAAAGAACTCAGCTTTCAATTAAATCCACAGGTAACAAGGCACTACCACTTCCAACAAAGTGGTTGTAGGTATGCCGTTTCTAAAATTCACATGATGGGATCTTAGGGGTTAATAAATGGTGAAATAAAGAACTGTTTCTTTCTCGGGGGTCAAGCGAGTTGCATAATGGGAAGCATGGCTTTGAAAATGATACCTGCCCTCACTTTGTATTTTGGTTGTTGGCTTATTCGCATACTTCCATAATTTACGCAAAGCAGAGATACCCCACAAGCACCACCCCCTTTTCAAGAGTGCTCCAAAGGCCTTCACATTGGGAAGTCTCCATCAATATAATCCCTAATTCAAATGAAAAAAAGCACGCTGAATATGATTTCACTTGGATCCTCGAGTCTTGCTGATTCCTATCGAAGATGGTTTCATTTGAATCCTTGAGTCGATCTGCCTCATATGCTTAATCGAGCAAAAGAAATGCAGAGTCGGTACCTCACCTACTAAAAGCTCCAAATAGGCATGATATGAAACGCAGCGAGGGAGAGAAAGTGGCAGAGGCCCCATTACCATTAGTAGTCATAAACTAAAATCAAGATTTGACAACGCATGATGGGGAACATGTGGTTCAAGCATCTGCATTTGTGTGCAAATATTTAATCATGACAATATTTAGTTTGAGGGTCCCTTTGAAGCCTTCAAGATTATCTTATTTGAAGGACGATTTGGTGCTCCTGGACAAGATTATCTTATTTGAACAAGCAAAACCAATCGTCTCCTCTTAGAACTAAAAGTAGCCCCTGAAATTCTGTCAAGACTCTGTCAGAAAATCATACCATACTTGAAATCAAATAGAAAGAGTTGAAACTTCCCTTACACATAACCGTAGAACTGATCTCTGAGTTAGCTGTGTAAAACCACTTTACAATATACGCCACAATAATAATAATAATAATAATAATAATAACAAAAGAATGACAGACTCAAGCTGTGGATACATCTTTTTTGTTGTTGTAAGGCAACAGAAGATAGAGAAGCGTCATAGCAGTACTTTCAGGGCTCTGAATTCTGATAAAGCAGCCTTGTATTCTATTTGTTTCTTCATTTTCCAAAAAACAATCTTTTATGCTTTGAGTGTGTCCTACCAAATCATGCTCTTGGGCATCAACCCAATTGCAAAATGAATTAATTCTATTCTATATCAGGCCTGCCCAGTAACAAGGCTCAAGTATGATGGCGATTTTAAATATAAGATTGCCTGCTTATTTAGTGCCCCATTCATGCCCTCCCCCATGTCTTTTTCTCCGCTGAGCAACATTTTAAAGACCACTTCCTCTACGTCCTTCTCTTTGTTGTCTCTCGTTGTCTAAACCATGCTTTCTCCAACAAGGAAGGCCATGACAATGGCTGCTCTTATTCTTCATCTTTGCATTTGCAAGGAGATTGTTCCCTCTTATGCTCAATCTGACAAGATTATCAGCCTTCCAGGGCAGCCCCCAGTGGGGTTTCATCATTTTTCAGGTTATATTCATGTAGATGACCAAAAGCACAGAGAACTGTTTTACTACTTTGTTGAGGCAGAAACTGACCCTTCTTCGAAGCCTTTGGTTCTCTGGCTGAATGGAGGTGCGGTTGACTACTTTACTTAACTTCTTCAATATTACTAGTAATTCGGGGCCCATGGAACTTTGTTTCAACGGTTAGGGAGGATTTTTTTTTTTTGATTTCTTGCAGGGCCTGGCTGTTCTTCCCTGGGAGTTGGGGCGTTCTCAGAAAATGGACCTTTTAGGCCAAACGGGGAGGCTTTAGTGAAAAATGAATACAGCTGGAACCGAGGTATCTGTTTCTCTATCAATTAGACCGTTTTCTTCATAGTTCTGGATGTTATATAGCTGCTGATCAGTAAAGGCAAGTGCAAATTCAATAATTTCAGTAGCAAACATGTTATACTTAGAGACACCAGCAGGAGTTGGGTTCTCTTATGCTCATGATAGCGCTTCTCATGGGACAATGGACGATGAGGCCACAGGTATTGTTGCATACCTTCTGTTCAAGGAAGATAAATATTGATTTGGCTATGAAATTACTGATGAAGGTGCCTATGTTGTAAGTATCTTTCTACTCTTTAAGCACTTGGGACCGCCGCAAGCAGCTCGAGTTCTGTTAGTGGTAGAAAAGAAAACAAATCATGTTGCATTCTTGCCTTTTATTCTTGTTTCAAACTTATGTCTTCCCCTGTTGATAACTTCAGCAAAAGACAATCTCATATTCTTGCAAAGGTGGTTCAATAAGTTCCCTCATTACAAGCATAGAGCTATATTTCTAACAGGGGAGAGTTATGCAGGTACTCAGACGCACAAGCGCATTTCTCTGTTTTATCATCTTCCCTCTCCCTCTTCCGATCTTTCCTAAAATGGAAGCCATGAAAAAAAAAAACTGAATCTTTTTCCTAAATGTACCAGGTCATTACATTCCTCAACTGGCAAGGCTTATGACTGAATTGGACAGAAAGGAGAAGATATTTAATCTGAAGGGAATTGCTGTAAGTTTTGTGTTTATGTGGCGTGAAAAAAGAAAAGGAAAAAGCAAGTGGTTGGTAAGTAAAGTAAGGGTGGGTCATAATTGCAGCTAGGGAATCCGGTTTTAGAGTATGCCACAGACTTGAATTCAAGGGCGGAGTTCTTTTGGTCGCATGGATTGATATCAGACTCCACTTACACATTGTTCACTGCTGCTTGTAACTATTCCCGATACGTTAGTGAGTACTACAGAGACTCCATCTCAGGGGTTTGTTTGAGGGTGATGACCCAAGTCAACACAGAAACCAGTAAATTCGTGGACAAATATGACGTTACTCTTGATGTCTGTATTCCTTCAGTGCTCTCGCAGTCCAAGTACTTAAGCCCACAGGTACTAAATACTCTTTTCTTCTCTAAATAATAAATTTGTGGTGTTTAAGGATGCTTAATTTGGCAGCATGTCCGAGAGAGGATAGATGTTTGCATTGAAGATGAAACTGTTACATATCTGAACCGAGAGGATGTGAAAAAGGCTCTTCACGCCCGTCTTGTCGGAGTCCACAACTGGGCTGTCTGCAGCGAGTAATTCAACTGGGCTTTGACCTTGTATTACATTATTGTGTACACCATTCTCGTTTCTGACTCTTATTTGACATCACTGATCACACCAGAGCCCTGGACTACGAGCTTCTCAACCTGGAAATTCCTACCATTTCCATTGTTGGGTCACTTGTTAAAGCCGGCATACGGGTCTTGATTTACAGGTAGGTGTATGTACATTACCTTATCAAAACCATAAATCAGATGGATCTCTACGCAACACCTATTCTTTCTTATTTCATTTTCTGTTGCCAGTGGCGATCAGGATTCAGTAATTCCATTGATGGGTAGTCGTCGGTTGGTTGATAGGTTGGCAACAGAGCTGGGTCTTAACACTAGTGTTCCATACGGTGCTTGGTTCCAGGGAAAGCAGGTAGCCGCTCGCTATCTGTCCTGATTTCGAATTGCGCAATTCAGTTGAGCATTTCCCCGTCTGTCTCAGGTCGCAGGTTGGACCCAAGTTTATGGTGGTATCCTTTCATTCGCGACCATTCGAGGTGCCTCTCATGAAGCACCATTCTCGCAACCTCAAAGGTCACTTCTGCTATTCAAGTCGTTTCTGGATAACAGGCCTCCACCCCAAGTTTTCTGATGCAGACTTAATGTAAAAGAGACGATCAAGCATTCTTGGCAATGAAAAACAACCTCCCATTTGCAATTCACTACATTCTCTAACTCTGATTCCTCTACATATAATGTTAACAATGTGCTAAACCAACTGATACTCGGGAAAACCTACAGACCCAAATCACAAAAGGTCAAAAGGTTCATTTCTCAGATGCCTTGCTAACCATCCTTGGAAGCACACTTCCTGGTTCTGCACCTTAAATAGTTTTACATAACCATAAAGGAAGTGTAGGTGAGCCTGATTTGTCCCACAATTTAGGACAATGTTGAGGGCGGTCGCTTAGAAACGTGTCTAACACTTCCTTCTCCCAGAATAAGCGAATCCAAAAGCACATCAATTGTCCAGTCCATGAAAGAACTGGTTAAACAAAATCTTCGAAGATATAATCATCCCAAAGTCAGTATTACACCCAAAGCCACATCCACAGGTACATAAACTAAGGCAAGGCGATGGGCAGTTCATATATGATCCAATGGCTATTCTGCTGAGTGTAAATAAACGGTCAATAAACAATTTGCCAGGGTTTTCGGAAAGTGGGTCGAAAAAATACATTTAATATCTAAATCAATAGAAAACAGCCTCGGGAAGAAAATGATGAAACAAATGATGTCAAGCCCCCGTCATCGAGCAAGCCACTCGATCTAAAAGACGCTATTCAGGTACAGGTATAAACCTACAAGTGCCACGATTCCCACTGCAGCGGCGGCAATAGGCAGCACCTTCCTATACCGTTTTACGTGATATCAATCAGACTGAATGAACAATCATTAAAATCTATGATCATTTACAAAGAGTAGTTTCATTTTCCCTCTTACCCAATAGCTTCATCTTTCTGAATCTGCGCCTTTCTTGCCTTCCTCACATCAAATTCGTTATCATTTTTAGTCACTGATTGCTCATAAGGTCTAAATCGTCGCTTAGGAGCACCGCAGACTGCCAAGGCACGACAACTTGTATTAGATTTCAACTTCTTTATTGAAAGCAAATGCAAATGATTGGAAGTTGGTTTCGCCGACAGGAAGAGAACTTTATGTTCTAGAAGTTCTGTTTCTTTGGTTCTTGAAGATATCCTTTTTAAGTTGTCAGTTTAAAATAATAGCAGGAACTTAATTGTGCTAAAAATGAACGCGACCCAACGTCAAAAGTAAAGTAATTGACCCGATTGACGAGGCAATTCAAGAAATTGGTTTGAACTGGTAGACGCGAGGATTATACGAATTAAGTTTGGAAAGAAGGTGGAAGAAGACAGAAGCAAATTACCAGGACAGAAATAGTTATCAGGCAATTTCTCAAAAGGAGTTCTATCGTTGTAAATGTACCTACATATTGGTCCAAAAGGGAGCTTTACAAAGATGGGGGAAATTAGGATGTAAATTAGGTTCAAAAGCGGAATGGAAGGAGAGATACGAAGTGGTACCCGCAATCACGACAGATATAGGCTTGTTTGGAAGCGACGCGCATGGAGAACTTGGGGGCAGCTGCAACAGCACACTTTTGCTTCCTTGTGGAAGGAATCTGACGTAGGGGAGAGATGAAGGAGGATTTCAAAGATGAGCGGTTGGAGGCAGAGCCCCAAAGCATGGAGTCCCTATCAGCGCCGCCGTCTTCCTTAAATAAATGATAATCAATCAATAACTGATAATTAAACTAAAGAAGAAAAGAATCAAGAGATGGAGGAAGGTGCCGAACACAGCGGGAAGTAGGAAAATGAGCAATGCAAGTGGAAGTGTAAATTAAGGTGTGAAGAAGAATGAGAGGAGAACCTGGTTAATCTTGGAATGTGGATTCGGCGGTAGGTGGAAGCTGAGAGAAGAAGCTGAAAAAGAAGCCATTGAAGGTGAGGTAATAAGAAAGCTGAAATGAGAGAGGAGGATGGGAAGCACCGAGCAGAGAGGTAAGATGAGAGATGGAGGCGACAAAACAGAGAGAATGGGTCGAACTATGAGTGGCCGACAATCCATCAATCTTGCCAATCATTTTGATCCAATCCTCCTCTCTACAATCTCAATCTCATGCATTTTTTACCCACTAATTCAAATCAAGAAATCTAAATTTATAGAAGCAATTAAACTTTAAAACCCTTTTTACCAACTAGAGTTCAATTAACTAAGAACAACATATATCAAAATATTAAAAATTTGAACAAAACCTATGGAACAAATTTTATTTGATTCCGAGTTGTTTTATTCTCTTTCACCAAGGTACCGCATTTACCTTATGAACGTTCAAGCATACATTTGTTGTTTGTAATACACTCCCTCTGCATATGTGTTTCGTGCAATTAAAAGTAAAGAAAAGGAATGCAGAAGCTTTGACTTGACCATAAGAGTTACAGAGACTTTTTTTTCCTATTAAAAACAACAATAATAATAATAATAATAAAACCCTGTATCAAACTTAACCGTGGTTAATAAAAGATTCAACTCGGCTGTACCCTGCATTCGGAGACGAGGACCTGCGTTTAACCCTCCGCCCTTAACAATTAATAGTGTCTCGGAGATCCCAATAAATAAATCACAGTTTGCCTCAAAGATAAGGGAAGAACAAAAGGGTTGAAGGAGAACAAAAGAATCCATCGTTAAAACAAGGAGATCAAAATTGCAAATCTAATAAATACAAATAATAGTTTCTGCCGCCAAACCCCCGAATTGCATATACCCACTCACCACTATCTAAGCTTTTCCACCACCTACTAGCGATTCAGTCCACAATCAAATTACCTACTATCTCTATCCCGGTTCATGGCGACCTGATTGTTCTCTACATAAAACATCATGTAGGAGATCTACATGATCAAAATCAGATCAAACATAGAAACAAACTAATTTTTGAAATGTGTTACTAACCAACCATCCTTCAAGGCACATTTTCAGGGGTTGCGCCCAACAAAACAATTTTGCATGACCAAACACCAACTCAGATGAGTTTGAAAGTCTCCACATCTATGAGAAGGCCCTTCGGAGAAGTCACTTGGAAGTAGAATCATGCCTCACACTTTCTTCCGCCCGAGTAAGTGCATTTGATAGCACATCAACCGTCCAGTCCTTCAAATCTTCCTGCATGAAACGATTGCCAAAGCAAGTACTTTTAAAAAATTATCACTCCCTGGTCAACCTGCCCCCAATCCACATGCCGCATTCATCTACAGGTCTATAAAACTACATAGGATGTCGTGTCTCTTCTAACGACAAAAAATCATTTAGAAAATTTGAATGGCAACTGCAGAAGTTGAAAATTCAACCATATAACTGATAGAAACTGGGAAGTTTCAACAAAGTAGATCACACAAATCTGTAATAAGCATGGAAATGGGGAAGCACGTTATCATCATTAGGGGATGGGATAAAAGAAGGGAAATGTGGAGGCTTTCACATCAATTCCTATATGAGATCAGTGATACAACTGCCTTACCCTGTGTACAGGTTCTCCAGTTCTGATTCTTGCATTTGGACGAGCAAGCTTGGATTCAAACGGAGTCCTTGGTCGAACCTCTCGCATTTCCTCCCACTCCTCCCGACTAAGCATCCTCACAGTTCCTTGACCTGGCGGAGAATTCTTTATTTTGCGCTCTATCAGCTCTTCAGATCTTGACTCATCATACTGAAAACAAGCACAGTCGCTTATTAAAAGAGATAAATAAGATTTGCTTGAAATAAACCCAACCCAGGTGGGGACTGAACTTATACTATACATCCACAGCATATGCTAAAATAAGGTCATAATTTCATTAAATGGGCTTCACATTTTCCTGAAAGCATAGCATTAATTGAACGAGACAGGATATGTCCTCCTAGATTCTTACGAGCACAGGCAAACTAGCGAAATTAATAAAATGCAAAATAAAGCACAACGACTACATCCACAAAAATTTCCCTCGTCCACACACCTACATTGGAGTGTGCTTCTGATCCTCAACAATTTCACAGAGTTGGAGAATCTCACAAAGAAGAAGAAGAAGAAGAAGAAGAAGAAGAAGAAGAAGAAGCTATTCTTATTGAGATTTCTATACATGTCCTAGACTACTACACACACACACACACACACACACACACACAAATCTCATTATATTTCATTTTACTCAATAAAATAAAGGCAATGGAGGAACAAAAATGAGAACCAAGTTGAGTAGGGCATACCATCATAAGGAGTTTAGCAAAGAGAGCAACTCCAACCGCAGTTAGAATCATGGGCATAGAAGCAGTGTCAAGAAAGGATTTGGATTCAGGAACGTCCACAATGAACTGCTTGACACTTTTCTTCTTCTTCCTAAATCTCTCCAACTCGGCGATCTTTACCTTTAGAGCCTCTGATGGACATTCACGTTGCTGAAGGAGATGCATCTGTCTCCGAAGTACACGCAGTCCATAGCCAAATCCTGTCATGTCTAATGGAATCTTTTTCTTTTTTTTTCCTAAGCAAATTACTTCAATTCCCAAATGAGAATTGCCCAAGTAGACCACACATATATTGCGCTTGTAATCGAGTAAGGTTTGTAAGTTTGTTGGTGCCCTCACAGTTGAAGTTGGTGAATTGAGAATGATCCGCTTGCTTCTTGAAATCCAAATAGATCTATTGTAAGACATCTTCCCTTAGTATCAACTCAAAGTTACAAGCTTGAGTAAATATGAAAAACCATTAAGCTGTGGTGTGCGTTTGGCTTGAAGGAGCCATAAACCACCAGGCATGGAGGAGTAAGTTCCCGAAATAAAACAGACTACTTTAATTCGAATATCTGTGCATTTGTTTGTAAGGAAAAATTGGAATACCAACTAGTTCTAGATAAGTAGAGAAGAAGGGCGATGCAGGAATATTCATAGGGGTGGTGCTTTGGAAGATTTAGGAGACTAGAAACAAGGAAAATTTCAGTAGAGACAAAAGAGATATACAGATTATCAAACCCTAAAAGATAATAGACATATGCCGGAAATAAAAAAAAGCAGGTCACGATAAGTTCGAAAAGTCGTAATTTTCCGCAAGGCTAATTTATTTTCGTTGCTGTTCTGCTGATTGAAGAAGAAATAAGTACAACTCCTC